TGCGACCACAGGTCCATGAGGGCTACCGGTAGTACAGTGGGGGGAACTGGCAGAGTGGCAAAATTCGAAAATGAATTGAATTATTCCCGCGATTTATTTTGCGGTTGAAATGATTTTTTATATTTTTTTAAATATTTTTCCTGTAAAGATCACGACCAAATCTATAGACCCTCAAATTTTCAGAGTTGTTGGGTCATCCTTCTGATTGCAAAACGTAGCGAAAGTTTGGTTTCTTTTCCCGTTGGCCCAAATACAGGATATCAAATTTTCATATTTTTTTGGCAATTTTTCTGAGCGTGAAAAATCGTCAAAGTTCGCGCTTGAAAATGTTTGGCCCGGACCCGCCTGCGCCTGCCCGGTCGCCGCCCCCCCTAAGAACCCGGTCAGTAAGGCCAGGAATGTCCATTTCAGGCCGGCGGGGGTCACACTGTGCAACGTTAGGGTTCGGACACACAGGCACATCCTGACTTGCCAGCAGTCTGACGTCGGATACACTTCAAAAGACAACAGTCCCCCACAATAGACAGGGACCCAGTCCGGCTAGCTCAGGTGGCAATTGGGTATTTCAAAATCTGTGCGTGGGTTCAAACCCCAACGCAACCACTGTGAACGGACTTCAAATACTTAACATAATGTAATATATATATATATGTGTGTGTGTGTGTGGGTGGGTGGGTGAGTGAGTGTGGGTGGGCGGGCGGGCGAGTGAGTGAGTGGGCGGGAGTGTGTGTGTGTGTGTGTGTGGGCGTGAGTGAGTGAGTGCAGGCGGGCGGGCCCTCGAACTTTTCTTTTTTCCATTTTCCCGCCCGAGGCCAAACCACATGCCCATTTTCCCTCCCAAGGCCAAACCACATGACCATCGGGAAACAACACGCCCACGGGAAACAAAAAGAAAAGAAACAACGGGAAAAGCGAAATCAGAGGAATGCGACGGAAATGGGGGGAACACGACAGAAGATTGCAACCGAATAAGAAAGAAAATAAAAAGGGAACCAACCGACGACGGAAAAAGGGAAAAGAAAAAAAAAAGGGAACTGGAAATGAAAAAAAACAAAAGGGGGGACAGCTATCTGACGGCGGGCGCTTCGAGATATCCCCTCGCATCAACGCCCGCCGCCGCCCGGCCCGATGGACGCGCTCACTCGTTTTTTGGCGCGCTGTGAACAATTCGGTACGCGCGCCTCTCTACATGCACCCCTGCCCCCGATCACCTTCATCCGCCGGGCCGAATCAAAAGTTCTGCCCGATTCCGGCGCGCAGCGGAACACGACCTCCCCCCGCGGGCCCACCATGCTCAAGGGGTAGGATATATATATATATATATTGTCACAACCCTCGTTTGTTGTCCTCTTCTCTCTCTCTGCCTACGGTTTTACCGGGCAGTTCTGTTTGTGACGATATATATATATATATATTGTCCTCTTCTCTCTCTCTGCCTACGGTTTACCGGGCAGTTCTATTTGACGATATATATATATATATATATATAGAGAGAGAGAGAGAGAGTTTTCCATCGATAGAGTGAGCAACGCACCAGCCAACAGGCAATTCGATTTTGCTCATCCTAGCGCGAGGCCAGGCGCGGGGTTGGAGACTTACCTGTTCGCCGGTGTGTATCTCATCCAATCTCTCTCTCTCTCTCTCTCTGTCTCTCTCTCTCTCTCTCTCTCTCTCTCTCTCTCTCTCTCTTACACACACACACACACACACACACACACGGCCATCGTTGATCCCCGCAAAGCAACGCTCCGATAAGCTAGTTTGGCCCCCGCACCCAACGCTATGGGCAAAAAAAAGAAACCCGCAGTTGCACTCACGCACCGCACCGCACTACCACACTCTCGCACTCACGCACTGCACCGCACTCCCACACTCGCCCGCTTCGGTTTTCGCTGCCCGCCCACGTCGGCTCGGCCCTCCGCCCCTTGCCTGCTTCTTTTTTCCCTGCCCGCTACTTTCCCCGCCCGTCTTTGCGCGGGCCTCGGCCCTGGGCCGGTTCCCCCGCGTCGGCTCGGCCCTCCGGCCCTTGCCCGCTTCGCTTTTCCCTGCCCCCCGCGACGGTCGACACCTCCTCCCGACCGCGGTGTCCCAAGCGGTTTCCGTTGGGCCCGCGACCGACCATGTCGCCAGACCCTTTGCTTGCTTTAGTATGTATAGAGAA